ATGTATGTATGTATGTATGTATGTATGTATGTATGTATGTCTGTATGTATGTATGTATGTATTTGCAGAAAAAAGTTCAGGTGTATATTCTTTGACAGGGAATTATATCATGTTTTTATTCATTCAAGTATATTTTCAAGAAAGTAATATTGATTTGTATTAAATTAGCTTCAGCCCAGTGCAGTTTCCTTGTTCTTTGAGAAGTTGGGCTATTCTGTTTTTCTTGACTCGTAGCTGCCACTGAAATTTAAGCTTTTATTTAAAATCCAGGTAATCTTAGTTCCTTGTTATAGCAAAGGGGATAACATAATACGGACTAAGCCTTTCATCTGTTTCTCTGAGAGGGGGGAAACTGTCTTTTGCATAGAGAACGCTCCTTTTGTTAAAACTGCTTTAGAGAGGGTGTTGCCACAGTTCAGTAAAACAATTCCTACCTTATATTTTGCAAGCCACATACCTTACCTGGGTTGGTTTTGGTCACATGAACATGGATGTTTACCGGTAATCTAAGTGCTCCAGCTGCCTTTCAGTTTGTTTACCAGGAAATCAAGATGTGTAAACTGCAGGAAGTACTATTTGACCCTCTCCGGCAGTATCTCATTACAATAATTGCTAATCTCTGAATAAGACAGCCATGTTTTGTGAGTAACATAGGGAGAGAGAGAGAGGTTGTGTTAAGACAGATTTTAGGTGTTTCCACAAATAGAGTGCTGTAAATGCTTGCTTTGGATTATGCTGTCTTGATAGCATTTGATAATAGAGATCTGCTGACCCAGAGGTCAGAAGAACTAGGATACAATAGTAGGTGTTCTTTCATTCCTCTTAACTAAAAAAAGAAAATATTACGGCTTGTTTTGGAGTGCTGTCACTGTTCTGTATCGAGGGGGTAATGGCTACTTCCTGATTAAACCACTATTCACAGTAAGCTGTTCATATTACATCTCTATTTGCTTGAAATAGGAGACGTGCTTAATGCTTTTTTTCTTTTCAGAAGAAAAATAATTAAGGGGTTTTCAGTTTAACAGGGTTATAGATAGAGTGGGTTACATTCTTGCTTTCATTTTTCTGTTTTGCTTTCTTCTGTCTTTTAAAGTAAGGAAATTGTTTAAGCTCTTGAGTATTAAAAGCTGTAAAATATTTTCCTACAGGCATGCCGGATTTTACCTATGTTCAGAATTATACAACAGTGCTACATTGTGTGCATTAATGATATAAGTATGTGAATTATTATATATTGTTGTGAAAAGGAATTGTAGCATGCCATTAAGTAAAATGGATAGAAGGCATTTGCCACATTATATGAGCTGAAAATCAAGAACTCTTTAGGTCCTTAGTTATATCTGAATGATTTTTATATATCTAGTATAATCTGACTTATTTTTTTTTCTGGAAAAAATAATGATTTAGGAAGTATGATGAACAGAGCTTTATTTATATCACCAGTTTGTTATGCAGTTTATAGTGATTGAATCCATTATTTAAGTATTTATTAACAGCTTCATATAGTACAAGTAGCAATTTTGGGGAGTCTGAGAATGTAATGTTAGGTATTTGTAGATCGAATATGAGTAAGTACAAACTTCAAAAGCAAAATGAAATTGGCTATATCATGATATTGTATCTACTATTGATAGCACAATGTGCTATCCAAATTAAATTTTCTAAAAATTGCTTGATGAAGAGTGCATTACTATGAATAGATTGATATTTAATAATAAATCCCATTTAAACTCTGCAACAAACTTCTGAGTAAACATGAGGCTTGGGTAGCAACTTCACTTTCATTGTCAAATAAGCTGGTAAATCATTTTGAAAGTGAAGGTATCACAATAAATCAATACTGCAAAGATTTACAGCATTTTAATTTTTGATGGTAATGATTGAAAGATTAACTTCGAAAATGCCAAGTTCATAATTATCTGGTCTATAACCAGATCAGAAGGTGAGGTGAAATTCTGTGTGTGTATCAAATCAGTACAGGCAGTCCTCATTTAGTGACCATGATTTACATATAGCAATTCAAGCAAAGCCAAAACTANACCAATCCAGACTCTCTATCTATAAGACAATCAATAGAAAGCAGAGTAGAATCTTAACAATTTCATATGTATAGCCAGGGCAGAGATCTACCATGTCGATGAATGACCTTATATATATATATATATATATTAAAAAGCAGAGGGGAGATGGTGGACCCCTGAGGCAGCCCACAAACAGGAATCTTGGATTTTACTACCTGATTTGCTCAAATGTCTGCAACAGAGTGAATGAATTGTTGCTCTTTGTAGTGGATAGTACTTGAAGTTATTTGCAAAATTATTTTCTTACTCTAAGACAATTTCTTAATTTTCCCAGAATCTAGTTGATCTCTATCTTCTCTTTATCTGTAATAGATTTATTTTTGATTGATTACTGAAGTTAAACTCCTTGTTAACAATTCATTCCTGGAGCTCAAATTCAAGCTTTAGATGTTGCGCTGGGTTCATACATGAAGCAAACATTTTGGTTAATCAGAAGTTGCTGCACCAATCACAGAGGCTCAATTCTTAGGCAGTAGTAGTTTAATATGATGCTTGAATTTACTCATTACTCATTGTTTTAATGTATATGGCTGTTCTTTAATACAGTGAAATTAAGCCCTCTTCCCAATTTTTACGAGACTTCCCTCCGTGAAAAAGTCTCCCAGAAGCAATCCAGACAGAATTTTTAGGAATTGTTGTTTTGTTGGAAGAAATGGTTTACCCGTGCACTCATCATCACTGTAACGGAGTCTGTCAATTTTGCTAGTGGTTGTTCGCTTCTCTTTCCCAGCATTAGAGCCTTCTGTTGAGAGCTAGATCATCATATAATATATCTGATATAAGATTTGAGCTTGGTCATTTATGTCTGTAGTGAGCATGCTGGCTGGAGAACTTCTGAGAGTTGAAATGCACATATTTTAAAATTGCTGAAGTCGAGAAATATGGCTCTTAAGTCATATTCTACTATGCTGGTGTCTATATAGATTGACTTCCATTTTTCCAGGCAGAGAATGGAATTTCTGCTTACTGTTACTTCTTTCAGACAAGAACTCAAAAATATCATCTGAAGTTGCCCAGATTTGTGCTACCATCTGTACAATATGTCACCATTAGCTAAGTTTGGATACTTATTTATTCTTTTCTTTTTATAACATCATTTTTAATTATTATACATATTTTTAGAACTTACTATGCTAATGATTTTTCTGTGATGGATGATGGAGGGAGGAAGAGAGAGACAGACCATAGTTCTACTGTTGAATATTCTTCCTGTTTGTATTACATTTGGGTCAACTTATCTGGAGAAATGGCTGTGAAAGTTGGATCATAAGAAAGTCTGAGCACCAAAGAATTGAGCTCTTTGAACTATGGTGCTGGAAAAGACTCCTGCGAGTCCTTTGGATTGCAAGACGATCAAACTGGTCAGTCCTAGAGGAGATCAACCCTGACTACTCTTTAGAAGGCCAGAACCTGAATACGAAACTCAAATACTTTGGCCACCTAATGAGAAGGAAGGTCTCACTCGAGAAGAGCCTAATGCTGGGAAAGACTGAGGGCAAAAGGAGAAGGGGACAATAAAGAATGAGGTGGCTGGTGGAGTCACTGAAGCAGTA